GTACGCCTCTCGAGTTAACGGGCTAGTTCTAACGACGACCGCACTTAGGCTACATATACACGTTGTCGGATAAGACGTTATTTCCCAACAATAATTTTAGTTATATAAACCAAGGTGTTTCTTTATTTTATTCTATCGATTTAATCATTATTTGAAATAAGACATCATTATCTATTTAGCAAACTAATTATTCGGGAGCTACAAAAATTATAGTGAGTACCTAATATTGCTAGGAGCCTACTATATAAATTTTAGATTCAACAATATTACCAATTTATCATGAAAACTCCTACAAGTTTATATTATATAATATTAAGTATCTTAAATTAATTATATAGCTTCCACGAATATTATCAAACTATGTGAACAAAGTATACTAACAGGTAGATCATGATTTTAGAAACTCAACAAAACTTGTTTCGCTATTTTTGGACAACCGCCCAATTTTATATTGATTTTACAAATTTGCCTTATACGCGAATTTAGAAATTGCTTTAGAAAAATAATTGGGCCAGCGATCACCTACTCGGCCCAGCGGCCCGAGGCAGGTATCCGCGCACCCCGCGGCCCAGGCGCGGTGGCCGTCCCAGCAACGCGGTTCAGCCCACGGTGCGCGCTGGCGCGAGCGGCCCAGCGGAAGCGGCACACGGCCGGCCCAGGCGCAGGCCACCGGCAGCGGCCCAACGCGGGGCAGTCGGCCCAGCAGATGCGGCGCGGCCCACCGACCAGCCCAACAGACAAGCCCAGGCGGACCAGGCGCGCGCTGGCGCGAGCGGTCCAGTCTTGGCTGGAAGCAGGCCAGTAGTGCGAGCAGGCCCGAGGCCCAGGCGGCGCGCGGCCAGCGGCCCAGCTAGCCGTACTGGCAGCCCAGGCGACGCCGAGGAGCCCGGACGGGCGGGTGACGCGCGCGGCCCAGTAAATCGGAAGTCCGATCCAGCGCGGTGGGCTACTGATCCACGAGCGGAACACAGGCCGGCACAGGAGGGAGGCTCCAGAGCAGAGCATCGGCAGGGAAAACAGAGCGCCGGCCAAATGAGCAGCTGGCCGGCAGCAGTGATTTCGCACGACGGCGCGCGGGGCATCAGCGGCTCCGGCTGCACCCGAGGACGGGAGCAGCACGGCCGGGCGGGACCGGCGGAGCACCCGCCACGCACACGGACAGTCCAAAGACGACGGCGGCGGTGGTTGCCCGTGCAGGAACCGCGGCATGGCAGCGGCCTCGCTGCACCGGAGGTGGCGCACGGCGTCCCGCTCTGCGCGACGCGGCGAAGTCGTACTGGCGCGGACGGGCAGCGCCACAGGAGCTGCGGGCCAGCACGAGGCCACGAGGGTGCGCACGCGCTCGCACGACACCGGGCCACAGACGACGACGGACAGCGCGGCCACGGTGGCCACGCGGTGGTGCGGCTTGCCGGAGCAAGGGAGCGGACGCCAGGGTCCGCACGCGGGGAAGGGCCGGGACAGCGGCGACCACGGCCAGGGCTGCGCCGGCGGGAGAGCATGGCGGGGCTCCGGTCACGGCAGACCCAGCGAGGAAGGCGCGCAGAGGCGAGTGGAAACGACGGCAGGTGGAAACGGAAAGTGCTCGGGAGGCAGCGATGCGAGGCCGCAGCAGAGTGCTCGCGAGGAGGGGAAGGGCATGACTGAGAGCTTGGGAGTGGCTGCAGGACAGGAGGAGTGGCAGCCTGGTGGAGAAAAAGGAACGGCAGCAGCACCTCCCCACTGACTCTGTCACTGCGACGAAGAGGACGGAAGCATGAAAGAGATTGACATGATTGAAAGAAAGACGGAAGAAGACAGCAGCGGCTCTGTCACCTACTTCATAAACACGGTGCGTCAGGATGTCCTGTGTCTGTGTCAACCAACTGGGCAACTGCTGCTGCCACCGTCCGGGCCCTGGACGACCCTGGATCCTAGTGCATGTACACTGTGCACGAGTCAAAAACACAGAGCCACACGCGATCGTTTTCACTTTTCACAGTGACAAACGCAAGGGGTTTTATTATTTTATTTGATTCCACTAACTTTTCGTCAGTGTATTTACCCGCATGGGACGTGCGATCCGACGACTCAAATCTAGCGGGACATGAAGGCAGCCAGCCCGGTAAATCCTTCATTAATGCACACGTCGTACCGTCGAAGGCGAGCTAAATGGCCCGTGCTATCCTCGATATTATTTCAGTGCTTAAATATTCATTTAACAAGCCGACTATTATATTTTTAAATACGGCTAAAGTACTAAAATTTATTACTCGATATTTTAAAAGCAACCAAAATCATGCTCCGAATTTTACTTAAACACTATATACCAGTCATAACACATTTTATTTATAAAATTGTTTTTCGTGTTTAATCAATTAAACACTCCGTTCACTATTTATTTGCTAGAATCGTTATCGGATATTTTTAAATACTTCTACGCGCTGCGTGATTTATCTTGAGCGTTTATTTGAGTCCACGAAACTAAATCCCACAGGATTCGCTTATCGCCTCACGTACACTTTAAATCAAAAATCCGAGAAACTCGTTTCGAAAATTTTACTTAGGTCTAAATCGCGATGCTAAACAAGCTCATAACATCAGGGGTGTTACAATGAATTTGTTTAAATTATGTGCTATGATCAAGTTGACATCATTTAGTATATTTTGATGGGGATCCCATTTTGATGTGATGCATTTATAGCAGTAAGTATCGTCACTCTAATTATTTCAGAGCACAGCACTTACTGCAGTAGTCAGGGATTTGCAAATTTTTTGTTTGTTCATGTGTATAAGCAATTCCAACAGTTCTAGCTAGTTGCAAAGTTGTTCTAATGTTTTCTATCTATATCCCGTTTCTAGACTGAGAAGGCTTTCCTCAAGCAGCCTAAGGTTTCCCTCAGGTGAGAGTTTCTTGCTTCTTCCATGCTTTCTATTCTCCATGAGCGATATGCATTTCGTGACAGTAGATTTCTTCTTAATTTTATAGCTCAAAGAAATTTGGCAAGGGTAAGAAGCCAAGCAAAGGAGGCAACCGATTCTAGAAGAGCATTGGCCTTGGCTTCAAGACTCCCAGGGAAGCAATTGAAGGTATAAATGGTTTCCTTCATCTGTAGCTCTATCTTCAAAGTCCTAGTGTTTGAAGGCAGGCATTGTTATTTGAGATAATTAAGGACAAATGGTTCTCTCTTTATACCGAAAGAACTAGAGTTCTAAATGTCTCGAGGGCAGTTTGGTTATTTCATGTGTCACTTAACGGTGTTAGAGGCAGGAGATGACGGTAATGTCATATTAGAAAATGAAACTTCAAGTGAGGCCAAATGGGTAACAAATTTTATTTCAGGACCAAGAAAGAAAGACAACTTTAAGAGAAGGAGCCTGGCTGGGCCTAGCTGGGCGATGGAGAAAGGAGGGAGGCTAGCGTAGACTAGATTTGGCCCAAGATATGGATAGGGAGAGAAAAAAGACTGATTTGCTTCTGCAAAAAAAAAAAACTGATTTGCTTTAGTTATTTTTGCAAAACAAATCAAGATGAAGGCAATGAGAAATTATTAGTAATTGATTTGTTACTTTCTCACTGGTTAATGGGCCTGTTCGCTTGTCTGAATTTTGTAGGAATCTGAATGGTTTGGAGGAATGCTGGAGGAATTTGTGAGAGAAAAATACTGTTCCGGATGAAAAAAATAAATGGATCAGACCGGGTTTAAGGGCACGCAAACGGCGCCAATGTTGCAAACCATAAAATTACTACTCCAATGTCATGGTTTGAATGATTTGTTTTGGCAAACTGAAGCATGTGATTTTGGCCAACATGTGAATTGTGATTACGTGACTTTATTCCACTTACTACAATATTTTTGAAACAAAATAATTACTACCTAAGCGTTATCCACTAGATAACCTTTTTTATTTGGCTTTGAAAAGCTTAATCAACAAGAATAAAAATCATCAGTTTTTGAAAAGCGTAGGCCTCGTTTAGTTCATCCCTTAAAGTTCAGTCCATATCACATCGTGTGTTTGGACACATGCATAAAGTATTAAATATAGACTAAAAATAATTAATTGCACAGATTGCGACTACTTTTGCGAGACGAATTTTTTAAACCTAATTAATCCATAATTTGACAAATATGGTGCTACAGTTACATGTGCTAATGACGGATTAATTAGACTTAATAAATTTGCCTCGCGGACTACTAAAGACCGGTGTAATTTGTTTTATTATTACTATTCGAACACTCCTACCCTATATAATATCTACTATAATATTCCTAAACTTTAGCCCTTGAATTTAAACATTATCTAAACTTTTTTTTAATTAATTTCTGAAAAGCCTTGCGGAAGCAGGGGCGCTTGCCTGGCGCTCTCGGCCCGGCAGGGCGGCAGGTCCGCTGTCCGCCAGGTGCCTGCCCCACTCCCAGTCTCCCGCTCCACCCACGCCTACTCCTCTCACGTCTCGGCCGGTCAGCCCAGTCGGCCCGTCGCACTGCACTGTACTGTCTTGTAGCACTCATCGAGCGCGTGACGCTTCCGCACACGAACAGTGAAAGGACCACTGCCGCACTGAAAACCTGCAGGTCCACACGACGCACTCCGCGCTCCTCCGTCAGTCCGTCCAGTCCTCCTCGCGTCGCTTTCCCCTCTCTCTCCCTCCTTTAGTCGCCATCGGCGCAGCGACGCGGGAAACCCGCATAAGCTGTACTTTTTCGGCTAACAAAAAGCTCACGATAAATCAGCCAGTACTTTCAGCCATGACAGCCAAGCGATAAGGGCAAGTTAAGCCCACTCACCTCACCCCTCGCCTTGTTTGCGCCAATGCTGCTGCTGCTGCTCATCTCGTGCCACTGTTTCATTTTTGTCGCTGCGACGCAGGGAGTACGCGAGCGCGGGCGGAGGGTGGCGGGAGCTGGCCCTTCGGCGGGGACGCGGCGCCGCTGCCGCCCGTGGAGGTGCGGCGGTTCCTGTGGTGGCAGGACGAGGCGTCGGCGGTGGAGGAGGAGGAGGTGGAGGTGGAGAGGAGGATGGCGGCCAAGCGCCGCAAGCGCTCCGTCGCCGAGCTCTTCGCCGCCGTGCCGCTGGTGCCCCGAGGCCGAGACGGCGGCCAGCAGGGGTCTGGGAAGGGGAAGAAGGCTGCCAAGAGGAAGGCGGAGAAGGACAAGGGAAAGCTAGTGCTCGCTGTCAGTGTTAAGACCAAGAAGAAGAAAGAGGTTCCGGCCGGGCCCGGGATCGATGTAAGAGAAAAGGTAGCGCATTGCATTGCATCGACCGTCGATTTGCTTTCCATTTCTGGTATTACGATTTTGTCGGGCACAGTAGAATGTTTGTATTCTCCGGCATGTACAGGTCTGCCTGAGCTTGTACGCTACAAGTGGATCTTATTGTTCAGCTGACCATACGCACAGATCGCTAACTCCTTGAGAGTCGAGAGTTCGTATTCTGCTACTAGTGGAGCACTATGTAATTAGGGATATATACGGTAGCCATGAGAATAGTCATTGCGCAACAAACAGTAGAAAATAGATCCACGAATAATCACTTGATGGGAACCTCTTACTGAGGTTCGAGGATTCAAACATAAAGTTTGCTGTGGATTTTCTCTTTACACTATTCTTCTTTTCCCCCTAATATTGTGTTCATCCATTATTCCTGCTTTTGGGTAATTTCTGACCAGACAAAATTTTCAGGTGTGCTTTGCCTTGATCATTAGATAGAAGGTTTATCAGATGACATAAATATTGCCGGCATATAATTTGGATGCATAACAATCAGTTGTAACTAAAACTTACAACTTATTGACTGTTTCCATATTATTTGTTGTGAATGACTAAGGTGTGAGAAAAATTCTCATCACCTTCTAGCTGTTGTTGGAATGTCTGGTTACTTGTCACGTTTTCCCTTTAGTTTTCATCCATGATGTCTACTGGCCTCACGTGTCTAATGCCCCTTATATCGTTCTTGTTTTCATGTTTTTGAGTTGGATACTTAGATTGTTTTATTCAAAGTTACTTTATTAGTAGTTTCTATTCCTATGTGATATCGATGCCAGCTGAATTGTTATAGGTACACTTGCTTTTGCGTAAGATTTGCAGAGTGTGGATTGACTAAAATAGTGTTTTTGTTTGTTTGTTATGGAGTTGTCATAGTTTGGTTGACTGACTGTGAATACTTACTGTCTACAAAATACTTGTAATGTTCCCAAGTAATGCAGGTATATAGAGTGGTGAAAGTAATAGAAGTCTCTCACCTCCCACTTTCTTGATAGGTTCAAATAATACCTTGAAATACAATAGGGAGCAGAAAATGTCTACAGATGTTCGTTATATACCTCAGGAGATGTGATGCATTTGCTTTTTTCCTCATTTCAGGAGAAAAACAGCGGGGTAAAGGTCATGACTCAATTAGCATTTCTAGGTCAGTTCAGCATTCCATAAAAAAGAGGGAGCCCAAGAATTGTTCTTCCAAGAAAAAGGAAAAGCAAGAGGTCTCAGTCTTACTGGACAAGAAAGGTAAGAAGGGAAACAGAAAGTCAGTTTCGGAAAGACACAAAAAGGATATGACAAACAGTGTTCAAGCTCAAAGCATTTGTAAGAACCAGTCAAAAGCAGGTTTTAGCACAGTACTGAATACCACAGATATGAGGTGTAAATCGAATTCTTCTTGCAAATCAAAGCATGTTACCTTTTCTGATGGCACTGTCAAATTTAGAAGGACTGCACATCTACCTGAAGATAATACAAAGCAACCACAATCTGTACAGACATTCCAGCAACCCACTCAGGAAGGTTGTGATCACCGCAATACAGATGAGCAACAGTTGGTTTATCAACAAGCAGAAGCTATATCAGGGGCTGTTGAGACTACCAGTTCTTTATCTGAAAATTTAGTGCCAGTTGGTGTTTGCCGTACAATCCCACTTACCAAACCAAAAGATATCACTATACTGGGCAATTCAGTGGATCTGAACCACTGCATAGAAACTTCTCATGGCAGTAACTGTTTGAACTCCACAAGTTTGGCATGCTTATCTAGTAAGGTGCCTTGTCAAAGCTTCAAAGGTGTGGACTCTCATCTGAATGGTGACAATAGCTTAAGTCTTGATGTTGAGTGCCTTGGAGAACAGGACCATATGACTTCACAAGCATCATTTAATCCTGTTAATTTGGCAGCCAAGGCAATATCAGGTGATAGGAGCCCATTGTCACAGCCTTCCGGTTCTTGTTTATATGATAGGAGCAGAAGCACATTCCAGGAGAGGGCAGTTGCCTTCGGCAAAGTTAGTTCTGAGCTTCTTAGATCTGGTAATATGGTGAGAAACATAAGCTCCTCAACAGGATCAAATAAACCAGCACAAGCCGCTGATTGTATATCTGCATGCAGGAACAATCACAACCGTGATGACTATGTCGGCCTTCCTATTAATTCACGAGGTGAATTCGTCAAGGTTCATCCTGGTGGCACCCCTAATTCTGTTGACATTTTTAGGAGGCAGTGTTTGGGGGAGAATTCCTCATGTCCCTCAGCTTCTCCAACCGTTTTCAATCCTATTACCTGCACGGATCATGTCAATTTGAGACCCAGCTATCATGCTCAACAAATTTGTGCAATAGATCAGTCTGTTTTTCATGCAGACCCTCGTTTTACTCCAAAAGCCCCAATGGCATATGGGATGGATGTCAGGCAGTTGCCAAGTTCTGAAAGAACAAAAATTCATTACTATACAATTACGAGCTGAGCAACGAGTATCCATGCGCCAAACAGCAAGAGCTTTCAATGGAATGCTTTTGCTCTGAATGTTTGGGGCATCATAATCCACAGCAGAAGCTACTTGGGATGCTAAACCACTATCTAAGCCAGAACTTTGGGCAGGACACCCAACACAATGCCGAAACAACAGTGCGCCTTATGGGAAAAACAGTTACACTTGGGACCAGCAGCATACAGTGTACACGTCTGAATAATGAAACTCCATGTTCCAGTAAACAAATTCAAGCTGAAGATCAGTTCTTCCAGGGAACACGTACAAAAGTTTTTCCACAATTGTTTCATGGAGGACTGGTCTATCCCCCGTCTGCATGCAGGATTTCGGATGGAGAGAGACAGCCATCTGGAAACCCATCACATTTTTCTTTTGTTCCAGCAGCTGTACGGGCTTTTGTGCCTGGTACCAGTAGTTTCAGAACAAATGGTCACAATCAGCAACCTGAACTAGCAACAGCCAATAATCGTTATGTTCAGCCAGTGGACTGGCGCAACGAAAGTGAGCTAGGGAATCAGCAGCCAGTTATGGCAAATCAAGTTCAGAGTAAAGCTGAAGACATGCTGTTGGGTTCTATACACTGCAGACACACTCAAACTGTTGCACCAGAGTCATCTTTCAATACAAGGAACAGTGCCAGAAACTTCATGGAAAAAGGACCAGCATCGTACCAGTCCAGTTATCTTACGCAACAGTTCAGCAACATGGCACAGAGAACTGCGGCATCCTCTTTTGCGTCAGGCTATGCTGTTCAGAAAACCCTTGTTCCAACAACTCAAACAAAATTCACGTCGCTCAGACCATTGCCGCCTTCGGTCATCCTTCCCATGTTTACAGCGCTGACTATGCACCACCGCCTCATGGATCCGTTACTACCTTTCACCCATCAGTTCCCACACCTTATCCACCGAGCAATTCCAGTGCTCCTGGCAACTCAGTATTCGAAATTGAGAGCATGAGGTGGACCATGATGGGATCAAGGCTGAAGGCTTGGAACATTTGAGGAACTGCAGAAGACCAGCAGAAAAGGACGATTTGCCCATGACATTACCAAAGAAACCTTGCACCGTCGCACAGAAGGGACTACATATGTTACGATTTGCAGAAACGGGTTTGGAGTTCCGTGGATCCAGACCAGATGTGCAGCCACAGCCACAGCCTATCTGTCTGGACGACGAAGATGAAGCTGATCTTCGACTTGGAAACACAGAATCGCATCCCACGTGGTCGAAAGCTGTCAGCACTCTGAGACCTGTGAAGCTGAATCCGGGAGCGAAGCATGTACAGCAGCCAAGTGGCAGCAGCGTGTACCAAGAAAATCCCTGGCCTGTGCATTCGGTTACACCACCACTAGCCCCTGGAGAACGAGTCTTCCAAGACGCCAGACGCAGAGATGTAAAGTTCTTAGTGGTGTTTGTTGTAAGTGAAGCACCTGTATAAACTGAAATTGGGGTGCCAAGTCATGACGTCAAACCAGAAACATCCAGTGATTTTGGCTGGAAGGGGCTGGTGTAGGGCGACAGCCTTTTGCTGTAGTGTTATATTATCGCGTGTTGTATGTGGTTCCTGCATCTGCATTTCTGTTTCGCTTAACGTCGATCGGTGATCTGCAGTACACAGGATCTCACTTGTTGAACCGTGCGGTCGCGTCCCTGGCCTGCTGCATGGGCGAAGGCCCAATCCACGGAAACGGCCGCTGCCGCTGGCGTCCGTGAACTCCTCGCACGAACTTCTTGCCGGTACAGAACAGATCAGCCGCGTCCGAGGCACGTCAGGATGTGTATCCTGTCGTTTTCGTGTATCACGAGCTGGTCTCGAATCTCCCCCAAGTGAATGCTGTGAGAGATTGCGTGTGTTCCCAATGCCGCAACTGATGATTTATATTCAAGCCAACCCAACCCTACATGGTTTCCAAAACTGCAAAATGCCACTCATAATTTTTTTTGGAGGAGTAATGCCAAACTAATTACACACTTGGGATACAGTATCATAAAATTGCACCTGAGGCTCACTATAACCTATACATTGTGCACCCAATTAAGAACCCTTCGTTGGGTTTTATGTAACTGACTGAAGATCACGCCCACACAATGCTACCCATATCTGTCACAATTCACAAACACAAACTGAAGAACCGCGAAACCTATAAGCTCTGCTCACTGCCGCGCGCCAGCTCCGAGCCGAGCCGTTGGATGCATGGATCTTGTAAACCAGACTAGAGGCGTGCGAGCGTGCGGAGGTCGACCGGGTGCACGTCGGAGGCGAGCTTGGCGCTGTAGGTCCTCTGGGCGACGAGGATGTTGGCGGCCTCCGTCGGGTGGAAGGCGTCCCAGAAGAGGTACTGGTGCCGGTTGGCGCACGGCATCTGGAACGGCAGGCACGTCACCTGCCCGTTGTTCCTGCCCACGCCGCAGCATCCCGCGTTGGTCACCTTCAGGCCGTGGGCTCCGGGGGACTTGAGGATGTCGTCGAAGATGCCGTAGATGTTGATGTAGGTGAAGTGCGCGCCGGGGAGCTTGTTGAACCTGTCCACCATGCCGACGAGCCGCTGGTTGAAGATCCGGACGGCGTGGTTGATCTGCTCGACGCAGGTGACGCCGTTGGCGCTGCGCTGCGCCAGCTCGTTGGGGCTGCACCCGACCTGCCCCACGCCGATGAGCGCCACCTTCCGGGCGCCGTACCTGTACATCACCTGCAGCAGCCGGGAGTAGTCCTGGGCCAGCGCGTCCGCGTACTGCTCCGGCGTGTACCGGCTGCCCGTGCTGTAGAAGGCCGGCATGAAGTAGTTGTTGAGGTAGTCGTTGCTGCCCATCCCCACCGTGAAGATGCACCGGCTCAGGTGCGTCGCCGCGGAGTCCTTGTCGCCCAGGATGCTGATCACCTCCTGCACCGCCGACTGGTAGTTCTGCACCTGCCCGCTAAAGCTGATCCGGCCACCCTGCATTATCAGTTCACACGTCATGTGCATGCAGGGGCGCGGTAAATTTTGAATTAACATGCGTGCGTATATATGTACCAGCTGCTGGCCCGTCTCTTCCCGGATACCGGCGGCGGCGGAGGCGAAGTTGGCGCCGCGGAGGAGCTGCTGGCTGCTTGCGCCGGAGAACGGGGGCACGAAGTCGTCGAAGCCCAGGAGCTTAGCTGGATGTGCACACGGGCACAAAGCAAACAATGGCAGACGCATGTAAGTAGTGGATGGATGGCGTAAAAACTTCTCCTAGTGCAGTGCAGGTTCGGTCGTCTTCGCCCTGGTCCAGTGACCAGGCACGGCATGCATGCGTGCTCTCCTCGGGCCTATTGGCTATTGCACCGTACGAGACCCAGCTAGACTTTGCATGATTTGCATCCATCAACAGTCCCTAGCTAGCTGCCCCAGTTTTCAGACAGTGGCGGTACTATTATCTCACAGCAAGCTTGCTGCTTACCGATGGCATCGACGGTGGTGAGGCCGTTGCTGAAGCGGCCGGTGGGGCCGCCGGCGAAGTCGATCCCGTAGGGCGGGTAGTTGGCCCTTGCCATCGACACGATGAAGTTGTTGTTGCCGTTGTCCACGAGCGAGTCCCCGAAGATGAAGTAGCACGGCACCTGCGGCGCCGCCCGAACCATCGTCGCCGCCGCGCCGAGGACGGCCATGGCAGCCACGACGACCACCTGCCACGCGTACGCGCGCCGCCCCATTTCCTCTGGTAAGTAATCAAGCAGCGGCCGCCGGAGCTGGTTGGCTTTGCGATGAGATGGACCGATCGACTGCGAGGCATGACAATCGGTAAGGGGATGCTGGTCTTATACCAGCACCCCACCCGGACCCTGCAGAGGAAAAGCAATATTTTATTTATTATTATTTTTATAAGCGGCCCTGGATTCGATTGCAGACGGTGAAGATTAATTGGGCCTTCTCAAGACCCTCGTTAGGCGGCTGTGGGCCCGCATTTATTTCCACGCGGCTGGGGGTAGGGCGCTGCTCACACGAGCAACTGGAGCATTGGGCCGGCCGTGTCCAGCTTTACAAGTGTACACGGAAACAGGAGCCGGCTGCCTGTTGCTGAATTCACACTTCAATCACAGCGCCAGATCAACCCCTTCAGAAAAACGCCGAAGCAGCGCAACTGCGCATTTGATACCGTACCGTAAACCCTACTGGCAAATTATTGGGGCTTTGCGTACGCCGATGGATAGATGATGGCACAGTGGTACCGCGCAGTACGAAGCGTAGCTGCACCAACAGCTAGCTGTCAGTGAAATCTATCACTGATCGGAGATCGGACAGAGAGGGAACAGGCGCAGGAGGTCCGGTACTCCAGTTACTCTTGCTCCAGTTATTTTGCCTAGGCAATTCTTGTACAAGAACCGTGCGGGTGCGCGGCAGATGCAGCCCTTTTTCCCGTTGAACTGAACTGCCGGCCCTTTACCACAAGTAACACCTGAGACCTGAAAGATTGCTCGATCCAGCCACAGCCAGGTTTCACCGGCAATAACTCGCCGACATTTCGTCCGTGTGATCTACCCCGAGGATCCTCACCTTCTTTTCTTTCCCCACTCGCGCGTCCGTCCATGTCCGATCGGGGCACAGTTATTGTGGCGTGGCCTCAATCATCGGCGCGCGAGACAGACTGTGAACGCGGCGCTTGGAAGCTTTGGAAAAACGAGGCGTCGAAGCGTACCGAAAGTACCATCTGCCACCCTGCCATGCCATGGCCGGGGACGCCGCCGCCAGGACACTGCACATGCGGCCGGCGTGGGCGGCTGCCCTTGCCGAGAATCTGACCTCGCTGGTTGCTGCCGCCGCGTCCGCGTGGACAGTACACGACGCTGAATGCTCCTAGTCACTCGCCCCACACCCTAGCCCGTGGTCCGTGCTCGGTGCTCCGTAGGCCGTAGCTTCCCTCATCAGGCTCTGCCGATCTGGGCTAGCTCTGATGCGCATGCGCCCACGCCCATAGTGGATAGTGCCAAGCGCGACACAGCAGCGGGGATTCAATGCGCCGCCGTGGTAGGAAATTTTGCCTTCTTGGCTCGCTCCTTTGTTTCCACTGCACCGGCCGGCCACGGGAGTGATGAGGCCGGACTGAGCTGGGAGGAGTAATGCTCGACAGGGGTGAATGGCTGGTGGTGTCCGAGTAACCGACGGCAACGGCAGCTAGTCGATCGATAGATCCGGGTTGTCAGGCAATATAGGTGTTGAGAATTTAACTTCGTCACAAAACACAGCCCCAAACTTTGGAGCTAAATTCTTAAGATTCCGTAACAAAATCTATTTGCAGGAAAAAGAAAAGCGAAGATAACATTTCGACTTCGTACGAAGAAATTTGACTTCGCAAAAAAGGAGAAATCAAGATAAAGAAGAAGTCAAGACCAAAGCGAAGACAGAAGTTTAACTTCGCGGGTAAAGAATTGTCTTCGCTGATTAACGAAGACAAAGAAAAGCAGAGCAGAAATTGACTAAGACAAAAGGCAGAATTTCCCACAAGAATGATGGCCAAATAGAGGGATGAAGACTAAAGTAGTGTAAAATGACCACTTCGCCCTTATAGTTTAAAATGGTTGTAAATATTTGAGTTAAGGGTAAAATAGTCATTTTATGTAAGATATGAAGACTAGGGCCCTATAAATACCCCCTCCAACATGTACAGTACGATCATGAAATGAATACAACTTTGTCTTGTATTCAAACTTTGATACTTGAGTAATTTCTTACCCAATATCTGGCGCCCACCGTTTGTGTGTGCTCGAAAACTCCCACAACCGCACGAAGCTAATGGGCAGACCTAACAAGAAAGTTACCACTGGGGTAACCAAAGATGACCCACCAACAGTCAAAGACCAAAGTCTCAAAAAAGATGCACCGCAAGACCCAAGTTCTTCAAAAGCAAGCGAAGCCGAAGAACAAAGACTCAAAGAATTAAAACAGCAAGTGCTGAGAAATCAAAAAGAACTTGAAGAATGTCGCGCAAGAGCAAGAGAAAAGTCTCTCAAACAAAGAATAGAAGAAGCCGAAGCCACCCTTTGTGAACTAAATGAACAACTCCAAAATACAAGTCACGAAGTTATACATTTAGATGAGCCAAATTCAGCAACAAAAACTTCTCAAGAGAAGAATTCTCAAAAGTCATTCATATCAATTGACACAAGCTTTCCCTTGTCAATAAACTTGCAGCTAGCACAATGGCCTTTGGGGTACAAATTTAACATGATACCAACTTTCGATGGCCAATCTGACCCGAGGCAATTCTTGATGAGTTTTGAAGTTGCAGTAATTTCTGGAGGCGGCGATGAAACAACATTGTAAAATCTCTTGTCATGGCAGTTAAAGGACCAACACAACAATGGTACTCTTCGCTGAAAGCAAAATACATACATTCATGGGATCAACTTAAAGCAAACTTGCTTGTTGACTTTTAAGGATTTCAACCAGCTGGCCTCACAGACATAGATTTGTTCAATTGCAGGCTGCAAATCAAAGATCCCCTGAGCCAGTGCTTCGAAAGATTCATCCAAATCAAGGCACAAATTTCAAATATCCTAGATGAAGTGGTGACAATAGCCGCAATTAAAGGGCTTCGAGTAGGCCAATGTGCTTCTCATCTTGCTAAAAAAAACCAAGTACAGTTGCTGAACTTTACGAAGTCATTCAAAAATATTGCATGTCAGATGATGATTACAGAAAAAGAATTAAAGAAGAAAACAACTTCAGGGCTCAAATCAAGCAAAGCAACAACAACTTCCATCCTCCAAAACCAAACAACTATGAGTGAAGACCATTTACACCACACAATCTAGTCAATCAAATTGAGAATGACAACAATTCAACAGCTGAAAGTGATTATGCTCACCAAAACTAATATAACTAGTGAAGTCAATTCAATGAAAGAATATTTGAAAGAGGAGGATTCGGCGCAAGAGGAAGAGGAGGAAGAAGAAAAGCACCTTTAAAACATGAAGATATGTACTGCATTATTCATGGTAAAGGGGCTGGACATACATCTAAAATGTTTCCCAAAGTTAAGAAAAGCATCGAAGAAGCCCTAAGAAGAAAACATGGCACCAAGCCAATAAAAAATTGTCAATCATGTGAGGCAAGAACAGCAAAATCCTCATCAAACTTATTATCCAATGCATTATGGACATACCCAAGCCCTACTTCCAGGACCACCTCCTTCATACAGCTATGAACCACTAGCAATGTATCATTCCATGCAAAATCAATGGAGGCAAAATCAATCTCAGCAATCCAATGTTCAATCAGCACAACCTGAAGCTTCAGTTGCAAACAACAACCCACAAAATAGCCATGCTAAGCAAGAGAACAACTCCCCATTAGCTTCAGTGGTGAACAATAATGCAATCATCCCAAGTAGAAGAAGAATATTGACAATCACGGGTGGAAATAGCATGGACTATGAAAATAACAGTCAAAGAAGAAACTACTTTCGAAGAATAAATTCAATTTCAATGGAAGGCCCATATAAGAAGACAAGATGGTCTCGTCTACCAATCACATTTTCAGAAGAAGACCTTCAACTCAAAGATTACCCACATATGGATGCTATGGTAATCGAAGCAAACATTGATGGATGGACATGCTCAAAAATATTGGTTGATGGAGGTAGCTCCACTGACATTATATTCACATCAATAATTGACGCCATGAAAATTGATCGTAAAATAGTAGGAAGAGTTGAGCATCCACTTTATGGCTTCGGCAGAAAAAAGATCCACTCAATTGGAAGAATAATTTTACCGGTTTCTTTTGGAACAGTAAGCAACATAAGAACAGAACAAATTGCATTTGATGGGGTGGACATGTACTATCTATACAATGCACTCTTCGAAAGAGGAACTTTAAATGCATTCGAAGCAGTCATAAGCTACTCATATTTATGTATGAAAATGCTAGCAATAAATGGAGTAATTATAGTATATGGAGATCAAACCGAGGCAAGAAATATTGAAAAAGAATACACTCTAGGACAGAAGAATGTTCACGCAATAGCTGAAGAAGAAGAAGAAAAAGAAGAAACAGAAAATGCGAAGCCTCAAACAAAAACTCAAGCTTGTGAAGAGACAAAAAGAGTACCTCTCGATCCATTAGTCCTTGATAAATAAGTCATCATTGGTACTGGACTTTCTCAAGAAGAAGAGGACAAACTTGTGGAATTCCTTCGAAGCAACAAAGATATATTTGCTTGGTCATCCAATGACTTAGGAGGAGTCAGCAGAGATATAATTGATCACAAATTAGACATCGATCCAAAAGTCAGACAAAAAACACAAAAGTTGAGAAAACTAGCTGAAGACAGAGTTGCGGCCGCCAAAGCTGAAGTTCAAAGATTGCTCGATGCAAAAGTTATAAGAGAAGTTCAATTCACAACCTGGCTCGCAAACATTGTCATGATCAAAAAGAAGAATGGAAAATGGCGAATGTGCATCGATTTCACAGATCTCAATAAAGCGTGCCCAAAAGACAATTTCCCAACTTCCAAAAATTGACACATTAGTCGATCAAGCAGCCGAAAGTGAAATGCTAAGTTTCTTGGATTGTTTTTCTGGTTATCATCAAATTTGGATGAGAAAAGAAGATGAAGAATTCATAAGTTTTATCACCCCATTCGGAACCTACTGTTTTGTAAGAATGGCAGAGGGGCTTCGCAATGCTGGCGCAACATTTGTTAGAATGACTT